TTTACATAAAAAAAATGAAACAACAATAATGTTGTCATTTTGACATCATTTATTTTGACATTTTATTTTCACAAATGTTATTTGAAACATTAAAGTAGATGCTTTATTTAATATGCTTCCTATGTATATACAATCACTTTTGTAAATTTAAAATGCAAAATGCAAATCTCGTCTTTGACCCATAAACCAAAGATTAAAAATATAATTGTAATGAAAACAACTGCGACAAATGGGAATAACTAAATTGTCATGAAACTACGGTCAATGTAAAAAAAGCAAAAATCAGGCTTTGTTTTCTATGCATAAAATATAATTTCTTATTTTTATTTTGACGTGAAGTATGACCTCAACATAACTTGTTCGACTTCAACCGTACTGAAAATGGTCGTGGTAGTTTGTTACAGACAAATCTTCCTCCTGTGATTGTAAATCACGGCTGATACCTCAAGCGACCGGTCGTGCCTGAATCCCCACACGCACGCCGCCACTGAGACGGGCGAGACGAAGAAGAGCGGCATGAAGACCAGAAGCCAGAAGTGTGAACCCCGCTGCACACGGTCACACACCAGCACCTCGAAGGTGAGCAGGAGGAGGTGGATCCCCACAGCAATCAGCATGGCCTTAAACTCCACGCAGGTCTCACCCTCAGCCCTAAAGACGACAACTTACTGCATCACCAAAATCACACTTCCTTAAAGGGACAGGTCACCCAAAAAGAACAATTCGGTCATCATTTACTCACCCTCATGTTATTCCAAACCTGTATGAGTTTCTATCTTCTGCTGAACACAAAAGAAGATATTCTGAAGAATGTTGGTAACCAAAGAGCTGCTGGTCCCCATTGACTTCCATACTATGGAAAAAAAATACTATGGAAGTCAACGGCTACCGTCAACTGTTCGGAAACTCATACAGGTTTGAAACAACATGCGAGTGAGTAAATGATAACAGAATTTTCATTTTTGGGTGACCTGTCCCTTTAAGTCATAAAGGCAACATGATATGGCATTCTCACAAAGTTTACTAGTGTGCTGGCAAGACTTTACCTTCAACAGAAGCCGAAATAACATTTAAAAAATCATTATTTTGACACTGTATACACATAAATTATGCTAAACAAGACTGGGAAAGTGTATCAGGGTCCTTAACCATATAAAGCCTGATACATTACCTTTAGACAAAATAAAAAAGTTGCACATGTATTTTGCATTTTGTGTCATATTTAATAAATCAGGCTTTTATGGGTCATAAAGTATGATATACTCAGACTCAGAATATGGAGGAAAAAACAGCTCAGATTTATTCAGAGGCTCAAACTGAGCAAAAACTATGCAATTTTGGTGCAGATGCTGATACGTGAGATGTATATGGCCAAAAAAGTAGGATGAAATTCTCGTAGCTTGTAATGTAAATCAACGAGATCTTTACTTACATAAAATCATATATACAGAAATATCAGTAGTCACTCTGTATCTCCAATAATACGCAACATGATATTTAAATGCTTAATTTGATTATCAAAACATATAATGGATGCAGTACAATGATGACTGAGAGATGAACAAATTAACGTTCCTCAAAACCCCGATGATTCGAGACTAGAACATGAACGTGAGTTTTTCTAGAAAACTATGTATTGATAATCAAGTAAGCCTAAACTGCTTCAGTCCAGTAAGTGTTCATCTTAAAATGTCAATGTATAACAGTATATAAGCTATTAAAGAAGCAAATGATTTAAATCAGGAAAGATTTCACAGCAAAAAGGCATGTATGCCAGTTTTAGAATGATACTGGTAACAGATTAGATTAGGGAACACATGTTCACTATCAGCTCAGATTTATTCAGAGGCTCAAACTGAGCAAAAACTATGCAATTTTGGTGCAGATGCTGATACGTGAGATGTATATGGCCAAAAAAGTAGGATGAAATTCTCGTAGCTTGTAATGTAAATCAACGAGATCTTTACTTACATAAAATCATATATACAGAAATATCAGTAGTCACTCTGTATCTCCAATAATACGCAACATGATATTTAAATGCTTAATTTGATTATCAAAACATATAATGGATGCAGTACAATGATGACTGAGAGATGAACAAATTAACGTTCCTCAAAACCCCGATGATTCGAGACTAGAACATGAACGTGAGTTTTTCTAGAAAACTATGTATTGATAATCAAGTAAGCCTAAACTGCTTCAGTCCAGTAAGTGTTCATCTTAAAATGTCAATGTATAACAGTATATAAGCTATTAAAGAAGCAAATGATTTAAATCAGGAAAGATTTCACAGCAAAAAGGCATGTATGCCACAGTTTTAGAATGACACTGGTAACAGATTAGATTAGGGAACACATGTTCACTATTAACTAAGAGTTTCCCCTCAATAAACTCAAATATTGACCATAAGTAAGGTAGTTGTTGTAGTAGTTATGGGTATTGGGTCGGGACAAGAGATCTAGAATATGGTCATGCAGAATAAAGCATTAATATGTGCTTTATACGTAATAAAGCACCAATATGCTGGTAATATGCAGCTAATAAGCAACTAGTTAATAATGAATAGTGTTCCCTAATCTAAAGTCATACCAAAGGTCTTTCACTTGCTAAAAAAGCAACAATCAAGCACACGCCAGAAGGCATGCAGTAAATTGTGTACGACAGGTTTTTCAGCACAGTTTTGATCATGTGGATCAAGGCCCCTGCAATCCATGCATTAAATATGATACTAATAAGTGACTTCATTTCAAGATTTACTTGTTCCATTACTGGATGAATCAGTGTTTTTGAATGAATCTCTTGAATGAATGATTCAAAGACAAATACATTTTAACAGCCCCTTTTCGCCACCTAAAAATAATTGATAGGTGGAATTAAAATTTTAATTGTACAAGTATCCGATTCCTGACCTTTAGTATGCGATTCTGAAATTGGAATTGATTTTCGATTCCCAACCCTAATCATAAGCAGGGAGAAGTTGTGTCTGACCTGTACTGTGGGTTGTGCGCCCAAACCCCAGTGCCCACGGAAGCCCCAATGATGACCATGAGTTTCCAGAGCCAGATGGGCGCAAACACCGCCCAGTAGCTCCACTGGATGACGCCATCCAGCCTCAGCGACAGCAGCACAGAGAAGAGCAGCAAGCAGGCGTAGATCAGGAGCTTACTGCAGGACAACAACAACACCACACATGCGGTCAGAGCACAAGCTGCACACATCTGTCAAACCTACCTGACTTCTGTCAGACGGGCCTGACTGAGACAGAAAACAAATATCTGAGAAGCTTCCCTTTTAGTGCTATCAAACGATTAACCGCGATTAATCACATACAAAATAATATATGTATGTGTATTGTGTACTGTGTATATTTATTATGTATATATAAATACACGCACAAACAGTATATATTTTTGAAAATGTTTACAAGTATATATTTATATTCTTATATTTTATATAAATATATTTAATATATAAACAACATATTTTTCTTAAATGTATACATGCATGTGTTTGTATTTATATATACATATACACAGTACACACACATGTATTATGTAAACAAAAACCTTTATTTTGGATACGATTAATCGCTTGACACCACTACGAAAATTAACCATGGTTTTATTGTAGTAATTTTGGCGTATTGATTACCATTTGTATAACCACAGTTTTACTACAAATACCATGGTTAAACTATGGTTAGTGTAGCAAAACCATGATTAATAATAACCATGTTTTTTCTTTTCTGTTTAAGTTGTAGTAAAACCATGGTTAATTTTCATAAGGGTTTGAACGTCCGCGAACGAGAATCTTTAGGAAGACTGGCTTAAGTCAAGGCTTTCGCCAAAGTGCTAAACTCAAGTCGGTTTCAGTATTAAAACTGTTTGCTTCACTGAGCAGCGAAACTATGCTAATACGAATCCAAAAGGCCTGGTGAACACTAGCAGCTAAGCTAACAAAGTGAACGGTGGCGAATTAAAAACAAAGCGTCGGGTTTCATCGTTCACGTAACACACACAAGTCTTACCTAGGGTTGAAATCTTGAAAAACGCCTCGGAGATTCATGGTTTCCTCTTCAGACCATAGTTAGATGAAGTGAGAAGGGACGGCTAACTGTCTGACTGGCACTCACTGACTCACTCGCTTTAGAGTTCAGAGTTCAGACGGTTGGCAAACGCGACCAAACACGGTGACGTCACGCGCCCGTCTCTGCCCGCAGGATGACGCTGTTTACATTATAGCTGATTATGAAAACAAACACGTTTCGGGGATTACGGTTATTATTTCAAGGTCACTGTAGCGAAATGCAATGTTACATTCATAAACTGAATCTATGCAATCTAATTTAATAATATTTTAATATTTTTATGCAATCAAAATAAAAATTGAATAATATTTTTATGCAATCAATGCATTCTAAGGTGGCGAAATTAAGAGTTTTGTTGACGAAAATGTTAAAACATCATTTTTTAAAATCTTATCAGAGGGAGAAAATGCTTGTCTACCAAAAACTGTACAGCACACTGTTCAGGGTAGTACAACCTATCCTGACCAAGTACATTTCATTTCACATTTAAACTCTATGATGTCTGTCTACTCTGTTATGAAATCTTTACAATGAAGCGCATTATAGCTAGAAAAGAACAACATGCTAGCAGAAGATCAGCATTTTCGAAAAAATGTATGTATATGTATGTTCATTTATACTGGATAAAAAAAATGCTTTACATGTCTAAATGTTATTTAGATACATATGTAACACATATTTTTGTAAAATATGTATACGCACACATATTTTACAAAAATATGTATCATAATAAACTGCATTTTGCATCAAAGAGAATAAGTAGATGTACATAATACGCACAATTGCTCATTTGAAAATGTATATGCAACCTTTATTTCCAAGTGTAGTTGAGAAAACATGATTGGTGACATGGGAAAATGTCTGTTAAGTGCTTTATGACTATTATTATTTTTTTTTGGTAATGTATGGAAAACCATGTGGCATTAAAGTTGGTTAATATTTACATAAAATCTGCCGTATTGTTTCACGGGGACATAAAATCCACCAAACTGTAGAAATGACCCTGAACCCATTTCACATACACCATTGTTAAAGTATGTGCATGATAAACACTTTTTGCAATCACAAAACTTTAATGTGTAAATCCAATAATTTAAATAAAATAAAAAGGTGGTGATGTGGGCTGGAAACAGAAACGATAGCATGAACGGGTGCAGAATAGGCAATAAAAAGATTCTTCCTAACACACAAGCATAATGAAAAAACGTTTTTAGCACATGAAAGGTCTATTTACATATACACAAAAATATTTTAGAATTCAGTCACATAATGTATGATTACAGTTTAAAGCGTGGTTACTGTAGGAACAATCATCAGCTAATGCAAGATAAAAAAAAAAAAAAAGAAATCATTGTTTTTAATGAGCTTTCATATTATTAGTGCACAAGTTCCAGTTGATTAGACGCGAAAGGTAAGACTCCGCTGACGTAATACGCAATGCCGAGTGAGAGCAGAGCAATGACGAGGAGCAGCAAGAGCACTCGCCAGAAACCAAGATCTTCCACAAACTCCTGCCATGTAGTGCGGAAGCTGGACAGCACGCCATCGCTGTGATGCAGGTGTGGGTTGAGAAGAGAGTGGCTCTCCATGGCACTGCAGGAGATACAGCAGCCCATAATGAGAGAGAACACTTATGAAGAACGATTCAGACGTTCGAAAGTTGGGATTATAAAAACAGGTAATGGCAATCATCTCACCTTTCATTCTCAGCCATGTGCATCTTCTCCAGACTGGAATGGGAGCTGCGGTTGAAGCCCTTCACTTCCTGTTCCTCCAGCCCCTCCAGCAGATGGAGCGCGTCTTTATTCACACCGCGTCTCTTGGCCAGCACCAGCGGAGTGGCTCCATTGTGATTACTGTTCAGATCAAAAAGCATGGACATAAAGCGGTCAGACTTTTTGTGGCATCTTCATGAATCCTCATCGAGCAAGACACCACATTTCATGGAACTGGCCCTGTAATATGTGAACTGTTAGTCAGGGGTTTTCAAACTGGGGTCCGGGGCCCTCAGGAGACCACAAGGAGGAGCTAAGGGGTCAGCAGAAAAAAAGAGAGTGAAGTGGGAAAAAAATTAATAGAATAATAAAAGTTCATCATTTTCAGAATGTGAAAGACTGGCCAGAAATCCTGAGATCAACTGAACAGAAAGTACTTCCCAGATAATACTGTACACATTTATTATTTTTCACATTTACACTACTGTTAAATTTTTTTTTTTAATGTTAAAAAACGCTTGTTCACCGAGACTGCATTTGATCAAAAATATAGTAAATATTGTAAAATATATTACAATTCAAAATAACTGTTTTCTACATGAATATATTGTAAAACATAATTTATTTCTGTGATCAAAGCTGAATTTTCAGCATCATTACTCCAGTCTTCAGTGTCACATGATCTTCAGAAATCATTCTAATATGCTGATTTGCTGCTCGAGAAACATTTCTGTTTATTATCAAAAAAAAACCAGAACAGCATTTATATGAAATCTTTTGTAAGATTATAAATGTCTTATGGTCCCTTTTGACCAATTTGATGTGTTGCTGAATATAAGTATTAATTTCTTTAAAAAAAAAATATTTTAAACGGTAGTGTACTGTATGTTTTAAAAATATTTATGCACATAATGTATGATTACAGTTTAAAGCGTGGTTACTGTAGGAACAATCATCAGCTAATGCAAGATAAAAAAAAAAAAAAAGAAATCATTGTTTTTAATGAGCTTTCATATTATTAGTGCACAAGTTCCAGTTGATTAGACGCGAAAGGTAAGACTCCGCTGACGTAATACGCAATGCCGAGTGAGAGCAGAGCAATGACGAGGAGCAGCAAGAGCACTCGCCAGAAGCCAAGATCTTCCACAAACTCCTGCCATGTAGTGCGGAAGCTGGACAACACGCCATCGCTGTGATGCAGGTGTGGGTTGAGAAGAGAGTGGCTCTCCATGGCACTGCAGGAGATACAGCAGCCCATAATGAGAGAGAACACTTATGAAGAACGATTCAGACGTTCGAAAGTTGGGATTATAAAAACAGGTAATGGCAATCATCTCACTTTTCATTCTCAGCCATGTGCATCTTCTCCAGACTGGAATGGGAGCTGCGGTTGAAGCCCTTCACCTCCTGTTCCTCCAGCCCCTCCAGCAGATGGAGCGCGTCCTTATTCACACCGCGTCTCTTGGCCAGCACCAGTGGAGTGGCTCCATTGTGATTACTGTTCAGATCAAAAAGCATGGACATAAAGCGGTCAGACTTTTTGTGGCAACTTCATGAATCCTCATCGAGCAAGACACCACATTTCATGGAACTGGCCCTGTAATATGTGAACTGTTAGTCAGGGGTTTTCAAACTGGGGTCCGGGGCCCTCAGGAGACCACAAGGAGGAGCTAAGGGGTCAGCAGAAAAAAAGAGAGTGAAGTGGGAAAAAAATTAATAGAATAATAAAAGTTCATCATTTTCAGAATGTGAAAGACTGGCCAGAAATCCTGAGATCAACTGAACAGAAAGTACTTCCCAGATAATACTGTACACATTTATTCTTTTTCACATTTACACTACTGTTCAAAATTTTTTTTAATGTTAAAAAACGCTTGTTCACCGAGATAAAAAATATAGTAAATATTGTAAAATATATTACAATTCAAAATAACTGTTTTCTACATGAATATATTGTAAAACATAATTTATTTCTGTGATCAGAGCTGTATTTTCAGCATCATTACTCCAGTCTTCAGTGTCACATGATCTTCAGAAATCATTCTAGCCAGATGCAATCCGGTCCGTCCACGGCAGTCCCTGGTGTTTGGGTCGAATCCGGACTCCAGGAGCCGCTTAGTGTGAGCGAGATCCCCGTCGATACAGGCCTGCAGCAGTGGCACGGTGGTCTGCAGGGAGTCATTGATGAAGACGTAGGACATGTTGCACCTGATATCTGAGATCTGGAGATAAAAATCACATTTGGAACATATTTGGAACAGCTGACAACATGACACATCACAATGCTATAATTAAAAACGACTTTGATGTGACTTTTCTAATTTCTTTATAACCATCATGCAGTCATATTAATATGAGAAACATTTCTGTTTATTATCAAAAAAAAACCAGAACAGCATTTATATGAAATCTTTTGTAAGATTATAAATGTCTTATGGTCCCTTTTGACCAATTTGATGTGTTGCTGAATACCTAAAATCTCTATGTTAGCATGTATTTATGATGGATGCGTCATGCACCAAACATTTAATAGGTTAAAGCTTCAAAAACTGTAAACATTGATTAAATAAAGGTTATTAATTATGCTGAAAATATCATTTAGATTACATGACAACTAAACTTCACGAATGAGCTAGCGGACTAGCTTGGTCAAGCTAGTATGTTATTCAACAAAGCAAACAAACAAAACACACGACTGTGACCAATAATAACTTCCTTTATAATACTAACTTATAGAAGGTAAATCAATACCTCGGAGTGATATCTTGAACGTATCTTATCAAATCCGCTGCTTTCCCAGCCTCTGTTGTGGGAAAATAGAAATGAAATGACGTAAAAAGATGGAGGGTCAATAGACTACAAGCCCCAGTGCATGTTATGATTACAAATATTTGACTTCAGCGTCTTAGCCTCACAATCTGGTCAGTGTAGTTTTTCTGGCGCGGTTGACTATTAGAACGACTCAGACATGGACTGCGTTACCCACAATGCACCGCGTTGTATTTGTATCCGATGACGAATGAGGATGGAGGCAGGTAGGAAATTTATGGTTAAAAATAAGAAAAAGATCAGCGATTTATCGATTCGTTCGGCTGACAACGTTCACGCGACGTTTTAAGTTACTAAAGCGTCGACAAAAGTCTAGTGAGATCTGCTAGGGATTCCCAAAGAGGACATTTCGTAACTGAGTTTCAAGTTTTCTCATTGTTCTTCAGTGGCCTGTGCGTCTCTCACTTGCAAATACAGACAAATAGAGTTCGTCTGCTCCACGAGTCGTTGTTATTGTGGTTCAGATGACCAAAGTTATTACTCTGTATGTTGGCACTGGCACTAACAAAAAAATTACCATGGTAAAACCACGTTTGTGGACTTTTACCATGCTATGTACCATGGTGTTCAAGTTCCTTAGAGTACCCAGTAAATACATGGTGTCTGATTATGTCATTTTATTATATGCAAGTATATGGTACATTAGCATCTGTGACCATCCCAGTGTTGGGATGTCAGAAGATGTAGTACCTCTGCTTAACTCCCTAATTGTGAAGTGCTGCTACGTGTTGTTGTTTTATCAGAAATGTACTGTGATTGTGTCACAGCACTAACATGTCACCAATTATTCCAGTTCTAGCCAAGTATGAGAATCAAATCAACGTATTCTCCGAGTTCCTAGAAGACCTGCCAGATGTAGACGAGCCAGTATGGATCTTGGGAGCATGTTATGATCTTAAAACAAGTAAGACAGGCCATAATGTAGTGGCATTTTGCTTTCAGAATTAATTAACTATATAAACACACTCGCTCTTATTAAATTGGATTTTGCGTATCGGCCACCCTGCTCTCTGTATTGGCATCAGCCATTAACTCCTTAACCACTAATTAAGATATTAAATCTGAGTTTCTCTTGTCCTTCTTACAGTGTAATTATACAATTATACTAAAAGTACTGAGTAATATTAATTAACAAAATATAGTTACCATAGGGTTCGGATTAGTTGCTTCTAACTATGCATTATTTACTGTTACATTACTCTGGTGCACTGGCGGTCAGAGTTTTAATGTTTTTCAAAGAAGTTTCTTCTGCTCACCAAGGCTCCATTTATTTGATCAAAATACAGTAATATTAGGAAATATTTTTACAATCATTTTCTATGTGAATATATTTTAAAACATAATTTATTCCTGTGACGCAAAGCAGAATTTTCAGCATCGTTACTCCAGTCTTCAGTGTCATATGTTCCTTCACATGAAATCATTCTGCTATGCTGATTTGCCGCTCAAGAAACATTTCTGATTATTAGCAACGATCATTTTCCAGAGAAATCGGAGCTGCTCTCGGATGTGCGGTCACGACTGTGGTTCACATATAGGAAAAAGTTTTCTCCCATAGGTAAGTGGCAAGTAAACTAGTCTAGCTAAATGGAGTGGAGCTGACTTCAGTCTTGATTAGAGGATGCTTAGTGCGCTGAGAAGGGTGTTTGTCTGTGGTTTGCAGGAGGAACAGGCCCTTCATCAGACGCGGGATGGGGCTGCATGCTCCGCTGTGGACAGATGATCCTCGCACAGGCTTTGGTCAGCAGGCACCTTGGTCGAGGTAAGCAAACGTGGAAGCTTCTTACCAATAACGGATGTGTGGAATAGCTGCGACTGTACTACTCCTCCTATACTACACTGTATTCTCAGTATTTCTGTATGAAGGGTGACCAGTGTGATTGTTGATATAGAAATGAAACTTACAGTGTTTGTTGCCTTCCATTGTTAATTGTGCTGGTTCCTGTTTCGTGTCCTCAATCTGGCAACCTGTGTGAGTGTCGAGTCTGAGGAGGAGGGGCGGGAGAAACAACTCTCCAATATTCTCTCCAGTATTTTGAATTTGGACTGCAGTACCTATTTCAACCTCTAGTATTGCATGCTGCACCTCTGAAGTTCTCTGCTTCACTGTGTGTTCTAGATTGGAGATGGGATGCAGAGAAACGTCAGCCCAAAGAGTATCATCGCATCTTGCACTGCTTTTTAGACAAGAAGGATAGCTGCTACTCTATTCACCAGATGGGTAAGGCATAAAATGTGTGTGTGGCTGTGTTGCTGTCATTCAAGACCATTATTATTGGCCCAGCCCTCTCAATGACCATTGCACGTTTTGTTTAAAACCATTAGTTCACAGCAAGTGCACATCATTGCATTGTCTATCTGAAAGTCTCGGTGTGTGAGTACTGTACATCGCAGTGGTACTGAAGTCACGAGTATTGTGTGTCCTGTTTGTGTAGCTCAGATGGGCGTTGGAGAGGGCAAGTCTGTTGGAGAATGGTATGGACCGAACACAGTGGCTCAAGTACTCAAGCAAGTGTCATTTTTCTTTTCCAAAGACTGAAATCGCCTTTCCTAATATGCTAATTAGCAAGTTTCACGATGAATGCAGCTAAAGTAAACAGTCTTTCTGAGAGCAGCTTGGAAGAGAGGGGCGGGGCCAGCAGAGCTTATTAACATTTAAAGGGAAATGCTACAAAAACGGCTTGATCTGAAAAGAGCTGTTTTTGACAGGGTAAAAAAAAGGTGTTTTTTACACTACCATTGAGAAATTTTAACCAAACTATGTTACAGAATTTTCATTAAGACCCTAAAGAATCATATCAACTTGTGGAAAATGGGCATCCGATGACCCCTTTAAAAATAATATTTTGTTGTTGGACACATTTGTCTTTGTTTTAATGCAGTGCTTTTACAAATTTACAAATTTGCAGAAAATGTGCTCACCATTCCAAGATGTAGATGAGTTTGTTTCTTCATCAGATTTGGAGAAATGTAGCATTCCATCACTTGCTCACCAGTGGATCCTATAAGCGGTGAATGGGTGCCGTCAGAATGAGAGTCCAAACAGCTGATAAAAACATCACAATAATCCACACTACTCCAGTCCATCAGTGAATGTCTTGTGAAGCCAAAAGCTATGTTTTTAACTTCAAACTGTTGGATTCTGATGGCACCCAATCATTGCAGAGGATTAATTGGTGAGCAAGTGATGGAATGCTGCATTTCACCAAATCTGTTCCCACAAAGAAAGAAAACTCATATACATCTTGGATGACTTGAGGGTGAAGACACAAGTACTGTATCATGAAGTACTGGATCATAATTATTATATATAATATGTGCGCTTTACAAGGTCTTTTAAAGAATGCCACACTGCTGTAAATGAAAGCACCATTTAAATCTCGTAGTTTGAACACAACATTTTGTGTGAACTAACAGCAAATTGCCGTCTGCTTGCAGGAAACTTGCCCTGTTTGATGATTGGAATACACTGGCTGTGTATGTGTCAATGGACAACACAGTTGTTATTGAAGACATCAGTAAGTGTCTTTTTCTGATTAGTCATGTCACATTTATTTATATAGCGCTTTATACAATACTGATTCTTTCAAAGCAGCTTCACACAGTAATAAACAGGAAAATAAGTGTGTTAATATTCATCAGTTGTGAAACAACTTCAGTTGAGCTATAAATAGGGTTTCTGCAGCTTTTATGATGGTAAATGCAAGACCTTTTTAAGATCAAGTAAATTTAAAGGAATAAAATGAGTGGAACACAATACGTCAATATGGTCTCTAAATTTAAATGTCTTGTATTAGCAACTCTTCAAAGTATGAAAATACACCTTTCGACAGATTTTTTTTTTAAAAGAAGAAGCTTATGGCTTGAATAGCTCTACTTCAAATTACTAGAATATGGAAGTAACTTGTACCGAACCTCTGATCACACTGCAAAAAAAAGTTATTTCCTTCCTTGTTTTTGTCTTGTTTTCAAGTGCAAATGTCTAAAGATTCTTAAATCAAGATACATTTACTTGAGAAGCAAAATGACTTAAGATATAGTCTTGTTTTCTGAGAAATTGATTAAAATTAAACTTAATTCAAAGGGAAAACAAGTTTTCTTTCTGCACTGACAGATATTTGTTTTAAGTGCATGCAACATTTAATGCCATGACTATGAATGTAAGACTTTCTGCTCTGGTTTAAGACCCTTTTAAGCCTTAATTTGTGGAAGAGTGAATTAAAACTATAAAGCAGCTCTACGATAGTGTCATTATTCATCTCAAGTCAGTTTAATGTTGATTCACTTCAGTTCAATAACAGTGTCAGTGTTGCAGAATGTATCAAATAGTGTCACATTCAGCACAATTCAGTCCAGCTTTTGTTCTCGCCCGATAGTGTCAGTGCAACTAAATCAATAATATTACTGAACATTAAGTGTCTTTTAAACCCCAACTAAGCAAGCCAAATGCAACAGTAGGAAGGAACCCAGAAATGGAGGAAAAACCTTGGGAGAAAGTTCCCCATGTTCTCCTCTGGCCTGACTTCATTAGAGCCGAAGGAAGTTTAAATAGGATGAATAATCTTCTTATTTCTCTCTTCCAACCGTCTTGATGTTCTCACCTCTATCCTCTGGACCAGAGAAACAGTGTAAGCAGCCAGGCCGGGAAAGCAGGTCCAGGGCTGGTCCCTGTGGCCGAGGAGAAGTGCCAGCGTCAGGCCAGAGCTGTTCAGAGGTTCAGGGAAAGACACTTAACCTTCAGTCCCAAAGGCCCCTGGACTGGAGGCCCCTGCTGCTGGTCATTCCTCTTCGAATGGGCATTAACAGCATCAACCCCGTCTACATTCAGGCCTTCAAAGTACCACACTTTTCTTTGTCTGAAGAGTCTATTATATTCAGAGCTGGCCTAAATGACTGTAAAGAGGTGGGAGAAAATCAAATGTGTCAGATCCGCGTCACGTGCGTCAGGTTTTAAAGAGACAGCGCTGCTTTTAAAGTGAAACCTGCTGCAGTCTGTCATTGATGGAAATCAAAGAACAAAAAAAGAGAAATCACTCGCTGCTCAACACTGGTTAACTTTTATAGCTTGAATAAAATGAATCTATTTTCATGCATGTAGTTTATGTGAAGATTCACTTAAACTAAAAGTTGTTATATATTTTTTTAAAACCTATTAAATGTTTAAAAAACAATGGTTTTAAATTATATTGTAACGTTGAATGGCTATAATTGATGGCTTAAATTGAAGGAAAAATGCATTTAAGGCTGCATTTACACTGGCACAAAAATTCCCGATTTTTTGCTCACATCTGACACCGATCGGATTTTGTTGCACACGTGTAAACACAAAAATCCACATGAGATCCCATTTTTTTCACATCGGATCTGGGCCACTTTCAAATGTGGATTTTAATCGGATACATATCCGATACCTGGACATCCGACCTACGTCTAAACACACATATCCAATTTCCCGCAGAACTCCCAATGCGAGGGTGGCACGTTTGCCCAAAAAGATAGCGTTTCAATGCCGGCGTGCTGTATGCGCTCGCATTTTATTGTGATGGAAACTTTATATAGGTAAGAAATTGCACATTCAGAAGCTGTTTTTCAACCCCTGCCCTGTGAATTTTATTCGCTACTAAAAGCTATGTTCACTAAATAATTCTACCTCTTAACGAGCTGTAAATAAAATAACAAATGAAAATGATCCGTTCAGTCAGATTTTGTGCTGTAAAACATCCATGACCGCTGTTGTCCATGCTAGCAAATAATAATGGCCACTCGACGTGAATTATATAAATAATTTTAATAGCACGGCCATTCAAAACCCGAGGGTTAACTGTGCATAGTAAAGCGACAATAATTTTGGGCGGGAATTACACAGATATCGGACACCAGTCGTGTCTAAAGTGAACAGGTGGGCCAAAAAATCGGATCTGTGCATTAAGACTTGCAGTGTAAATGCAGCCTAGTAGCATTATTGGTGTTCATTAATAATAGACTACTTAGTAAAAAAGATGCCATTAAACACATTTTTAAAATGTACCATCTTTATGTTGTTTCTACGTTCATTTGGAGATACAATGTGAAATTATTACAATATAAAGCAATAAGCCCCGTGGAGCCATGGTTTACAGTGAATTTATAACAGCTAAGGGGCGTTGTTAGACGCGAAGCGGAGTGCCTAAAACCCCCTTAGCTGTTATAAATTCACTGTAAACCACGGCTTCACGGGGCTTATTGCTTTTATAAAACGGTTATTCCATATACGTAGTAAGGTTTCACAAAACAAAACAGAGCAAATAAAGTGTAATGGTCTAAATAAAAACAGTATTCTTCCACCAAACAATGTAGTTCCTCAGAAACAGTTGTGGTTGCAACAAAGTGGTTGCCAAGCAACACACAAACGTAAACAAAGGTGTATCTTACTTTGTAGAGTCATTTACAACAGCTTCGAACGCGGCTCAGCCAATCAGAATCAAGCACCGGAACTATCCGTTTTATAATATAGATTAGAATACAGATTTTTTTGCAACAATTTAAATGTCTTTACAGTCACCTTTGATCAATTAATGCATCCTTTTCGAATAAAAGCATTCAATTCTTTCAAAAACATATTTACTGACACCAAATATTTGAATGGTAGTGTAAGTTTTAAACATGTCGTGCAATATGTCGACATACAGTTTTGGACATAGATTTAGAGCAAATGGAGACTTTTTTTTAGAGAAAAGACCATAGTAATCTCACATGTGTTTTCTATGGAGTTCCCTATGAGATTTCAGCAATGTCACATACTATGCTCACATTTAGCAAGATGACGAGCCAACAATTAAAGGGGTCATATGATGCGATTTCAAGTTTTCCTTTCTCTTTGGAGTGTTACAAGCTGATTGTGCATAGATAAGATCCCTGAAGTTGCAAAGACTAAAGTCTCAAAACCAAAGAGATATTCTTTATCAAAGTTAAGACTCTG